CACCTGTTTTACAAAATCAAATAAGAAAAGAAATTAAAAAGGAAAATAAAATAATGAGAGGAGAATAACTTTTAAATTGGAAAAGAAACACAAGGAGAACAAAACAGGCATAGAAAATTAGGTACCGACATGGTAAAATAAAACTTCACTTAAGAAAATAATCGTAAATTATACAAAATCCTTAAAACTTAGAAAACCCTTAATCCTTGTCTCTTAAGTATGAGGTGGTGGCGATGAGAGTGAAGTTGTGGAGGTGGTGGCGACAGTGGCGGGGCCAGCTGCAGCGATGATGATGATTATGCTGGCATTGGCAGTGGTAGTGGTGACGTTGGGGGTGATGGTGGGGCTAATAGTGGGGGTGGTAGTGGTGGTGGAGGCGGTGGCAATGGGGGTGATGGTGATTGTGATGGTGGTGGTGGTGGTGGTGGTGATGGTGATGGTGATAGTGATGGTGATGGTGTTGAAGATGGCGGTGGTAGTGGTTGCCATTGGCAGACCCAATGAAGGACTACTATGGGCAAGTGCCCACACTTACAAAAACGTTGCAGCCGTAAAATCCAAGCCAAACACTTTTTATTTTTCTTTTTTCTTGTGTCCTTCTTAGGTGGAGCCCCCACTTGGCCCATCTAATACATACACTTTAAGCCCAAAGCTTATATTAAAAAAATAAAAACCCTATGTTATAAAAGAAGAATAGAGATCCCACCAAGTTCACTCATTCTATAATTTTGTGGAGAACTCAGTCGCCAAACTCGTTATTTCACAAAAGTCTGCAGCCAAACAAAAAATCAAACTCACTACTTCAATTGATTTTACAGGCTAGTACTTAGTTGTTTTTTACAAATTAATTTCATTATATTATTATGTATATGCATTTTATTTGTAATGATGATGATTATTATTATTATATATATATATATCTTGATGAAAAATAATATAAACTATCTATGACAGTTATGGAAATATATTTTAAAAGAAAATCCAAGTTGGAGTTGCCACGACCTATTGGGAGAAGTGATTATAGTTCAAAGCAAAGTCATATAGAAATCAATATGTCAGATCTTCATTTTTATCTTGATTTATGAACTCGGATATTAGATTACAATATGAATATTCGATTATAAAAAGGCCCTTGTCAGCCTAGAAATCATGATTTCCCTCAAAAGAAATTTGGAAAAGAGTCAAGACGATTCAACCCAGCATGGTTTGATGAATTCCCTTATTGGTTGGAATATAGCATCCAAGAAGATGCTACATTTTGCTTATGTTGTTACCTTATTAAAAAAAATTTGGGAGAGAAAGTTGGAGGTGACTCTTTTTTTGGTACAGAATTTTCAAATTGGAAGAAAAATGAAAGATTAAAGTTCATGTTGGAGGTCCCAATAGTTCCCATAACAAGCTCTGAAAAAATGTCAAGCCTTAATGAATGAAAAACAACATATTGAAAATGTTTTTAATAAGCACACACATCAATCACGATTTGACTACATAATCGGATTGAATGCATCTCTTGATTGTATTAGATTTCTTCTACGACAAGGTCTTGCCCTTTGTGGCCACGATGAGTCTGAGGATTCAAGCAACCAAGGTAATTTCTTGAGCTTTTGCAATATCTTGTTGATCACAATGAGGAAGTTAGAGTTGTTGCTTTGAAAAATGCTCCTGAAAACCTCAAAGTAACTTTACCTAAGATTTAGAAAGACATTGTAAATGCTACAGCAATTGAAACAATTGATGGTATTATTAGAGATATGGATGATGCATTCTTTTCTGTTGACGCAGAAAAATGGTTCGGCACTTTCCCGCGCAACTTAGTGATTAAGTCTCTTCGGTATCTGATGTCCTTGGTAGGGTGTGCGATCTGTAAGATAGCAAACACACGGTAAATCCTAGGGCACCGGTGTGGTACCGGCCGAAGGCTCTCCGATGCTTAAGTAAGTATGGATTTAGTAAGTTTTAACTGTAGATCAATAGGCAGTATGCCGTAAGTTCTGATTGATTACCTTCAAGCTGGGATGGATGTCCTCTTTTATAGGCCTTGGGAGGTGTGCAATTTGCTTAGAGTTTCGATGTGGGACTCTGGGCGTCAGTTGTGGGGCTGCCACGTGTCAGAGTGGCGAGGTTGCCCTAATCTTGCGATCGGTAGGTCTGGTACCGAAGGTGAGTGCCGAAGGCACACGTAGCCTGGTTTGGTCCACGTGTTTGATATTCATGGGCTGTTCATTTTGGTATAAACAGGAGTCCCCCAAGTCCCCTTGCGAGAGTCTTCGGAAGGGGATTTGAAGTTATCTTCGGGAGGAATCACGGCCTTACCGTTCGGTAACCCCACCTGGGGAAGGGGCCAAATCTTGTCCCTTCCGGCATGACCAGCTCAGAGGCCGACGTGGATGAAGTCAGAAGGTCGCGTCGATCTGACGGGCGAAGGGACGTCTGAGCGCTTCGACTTCCGCGCCTCGCGTGCCGTCTATTCCCCATAGGATGAGCGACACGTGGCGAAGGTAATGATAGCGCGCGGCGCATTAATGCGCCGTTTGGTTTTTCGAGGAATACCGTTGTCGAACTCCCCACTATAAATAGGGATGACCCCGGTGGCGAATTCACTTTGCATCTAGTGAGAAGTGAGAGCTCTATCCGAGGCGATTTCCGACGAGTGCCAACGGTAGGAAAGGCGATTTCCGACGAGAGCTAACGGTAACCAGGCGATTTCCGGTGAGAGCTAACGGTAACCAGGCGATTTGTGAGCAGGTGATCGGAAGCAGTCTGCGTTTATTTCCAGAAGCTAAACGAAGGTACCGTTCGGTAGCCCTACTTTTCCCTCTTTACGCACCTTAAGAGTTTACATCCTTCCTTGGTTTGAACTAGACTGGCCATAGGGTTCCATTCGGTAGTCTAGTCGCCATAGGTGGTGATGTAGGGATCGGTAGGATAGCATCCGGCATGAGCCTTAGTTTCCCTTTTTTTTCCTGTTTTTTGTAGATGTCTGATAGCGAGTCATTCTCCGAGCGCGAGCCCAATGCGTTCGACGAGGAGTCATCGGACGGTCTCTTTGACTCCGACGTTGAAGCGGTAGGGCCTGATGCCGAGGAGGGGAGTGATACCGATGTCGAGATACTCGGCGAAAGGCCCAGCCCAGTTCCCATTCATGGCATCGGAAAGGGGCTTATGACCGCTCCGGTACCGTTGTCTATCGTATATAGCGACGGTCGCCACGTGGGGCTTGGCGCTCCTGGGGAGGCGAGCGGTAGTCACCAGCCAGAGGCTTCTACTTCCGGCCGTGGTGAGGCGGCTACCGAACCATCCAACCAGCCGAGGGTATCCGTAGTCTACCCCGGCAATCCTAGGGTGCCGATGGGGGTTCCGAAGGAGCTCGTCTTCGGTGTGGATTATCTGGAGCCCAACAGAATCATCGAAAGGGAGATTGCGAAGTTTCGGGCGGAGTACTTCATTCCTGATTCGGTAGGTATGAGGATTCCACTTTCTACCGAATCCCTAAGCAGTCCGAAGGAAGGCGAAGTCGTCTTTTTCACGGACGTGCTTCTGCAGGGGGTGAGGCTTCCTCTGCAGCCTGCCGTTCAGAGGATCCTGGCGCAGATCGGCTACGCTCCCGGCCAGTTCAATCCCAACTTCTGGGTGGCGCTGATGGGGGTAGTCACAGCCTTCGGCATGGCTGGGGAGGGAGAACCTTCGTACGAGCAGTTCTCCCACCTGTACAGTATTACGAAGTCGAAGTGTGCCGATCACGGGGGCTGGGTCCAGGCCAATTGCCTGAAGGCTGCCGAGCGTGGTCACTTCGTCAATGCCGTCCCGACCTCACAGAAGACATGGAGGAAACAGCGGGCGCTTTTGTCCGGTGACTGGGAGTCGCCCTCGGGACACCCCGTCCGTTTCCACATTCCAACCACGTTCCAAATCGCCGGTAGGCTATCCTACCGTTCGGTAGGGCTCGCAGGTCTCGCTCTCCTTGTTTTAAAGCTGATTCCGTTTGGTTTTGTGCAGGCAAGTTGAAGCAGCCGAGCACCACACAAGCGGAGGTCCGGCAGATCGAGAGGGTTAGGCTGAAGGTTCCTGCCGTTGAGAGGGTGTACCCGAAGTTTCTCTTCACCGCCAATCTCATCAAGGCCCGGCTTGTCAACCCTGCCGAGAGTAAGTATACTTCTCCATTTTGACAGTTCAAAATGTATATCGACAAATCTGACCGTCTCCTTCTTGCAGTGACCGAAGAGAGGAAGGCTGCCGAGGTAAAGAGGATGAACGAGTCCTCGAAGAGACGCCTCATGCTCGGCATGCAGGGGAAGAAAAAGGGGCGGCAGGCCTCAACGGCACCGGCGCCTTCGGGAGGCGTGGACCCCGACGATCTGACACTCAATGAGCGCCGTCGCCAGATGCAGGCCGAGTCGACGCGTGCTGAAGCTACCGAAGCCGGTCCGTCCCCCGGCCGAGTTCCGCCTACCGAGGGCACCTCCTCCAAAGCTGCAGGCAAGAGGCCGTTCACGGTGGACCTTGATGCCGACCCCGCTTCAAAACGCGGGCGACAAACTGAGCCTGCTCGAGCCATCTTTTCTGCCGAGGACGACGAGGCGACTTCCGAAGCTGTTACTCTGGCATGTCCTTCGAAGACGGTACAGTTTGTGAACCATATGATCCTTGGTTCACAAATGGAGCTGTCCGAGATCGAGGACCTGCCGAAGAAGCTACTTCGGGAGGAGGCTGGCCGCGCCTTCCGTCTCCAAGCCTCGGTAAGTGCCTACTGTTTTAAGCGTTTCCCTGCCGTTCATTTCTCTTTCCATCTGACATTTTCGTTTGTTGTGCAGGCTTCAATGGACATGTGGCTCTGCGTTAAGCGAGCCATCAATGCCGCTGAGAAGGCGAAGAAGGCATACGAAGACGGCAGAGCGAAGGTTGCCGAAGCTGGCAAGGCCATCCAAGCCCAGGCAAACTTGGCCAAGGACATGTAGGCTGCCGAACGGCAGGTAAAGGTTTATCAGGCCAAACTTGGCGAGATGTCGGCGGCTTTGGAGGCGGCTCAGCTGACGGCAAAGGAGGCTCTGGAGGCGATCCAGGTGGCCTTCGAGGAGTCCGAGCGGACCAGGGCTTCCGAGATCGGGGCTGCCGTTCAGGAGGCGATTCAGGGCTACCGTCGGTCTACCGAGTTTTCTGCCTTGCTGGACAAGGAGGTAGGCTCGGAAATGGCGGAACTCGTCTACCGTTTCAAGCGGTACAACCCCGGGAAGAAGCTCAACCTCAACTTTATTGCTGATCCCCCCCCCTTCCTGAAGGCATAACCGAAGAAATGGTCGAGGAGTACGAAGGGGAGGACATGACCGAGGAGGTCCCAGCCGATCCCGAAGGGGGTGCTGCCAAAGGTGATGGTGCTGCCCCTGGTGCCGATGATGCTGCCGCCTGATGGAGGGTCCTGTCGAAAGCTGTGTTTTGTTTCCAACTCTTAACCTTCTGAACTTTAATGCCGAGGGCATTTTTTTATGTATTTTTGATTTTAAATTTGATGCCGTAGGCATTTCTGTAATTTTGTTGCAACTCTAATGCCGTTGGCATTTTTGTTTTAGATAATTAATGCCGTGGGCAAGTTTTTGTTAAAATTATGTTTTCACTTTAAGTTACTTACATCTTACTTCTGAATCGGTAGCGTTTTTAGGAAATTTTTCTATTTAATGCCGAAGGCTTTTAAACAAAGGTCATCGGCCGTTGGCCAGTGACGTTTCCTTTCAAGCACAAGTTCCAAGTGTTAGGGATTGAAACCAATGGTCGTGCTTGCCGATTATAAAGCAATGGCCCGTAATTACCGAAAGCCTATAATGCCCAATAAAGTCTACCAAGTTGCCCCTTAATCGGTAGGATAATGGCGATGCCAAAATGCGTAGTTTGCTGTGACCGATGGTCCCTACCGTACCCCTCTTTTTTTTTAAACAAAAAATGGAGAGATTGAAAGGTATAACAAAGTGCTGAATATATTAGCCGAAGGCCCTTTCATTGATAAACTGCCGAAGGCAAGAGTACAATTGGGAGTGCGTCTTACAATTTAGAACCCGTCGTTGGCTAGGAAACGCTATAATGCCGAAGGCTGTGCTTGTAGAGATACCGGGGGCTCTTGTGACTCCTCCGTCACCCTACCGTAGGCAAGATGACTTCATTTGAAATAGTACTTCAAATGCTCTACGTTCCAAGGATGACTGAGGGTTTTTCCGTTGGAGTCTTTGAGTCGATAAGTCCCCGATCGCTGGATACCGATGATTTCGTAGGGTCCCTCCCAGGAAGGTCCGAGGGTTCCTTCCGTGGGATTCTTGGTTGCCAAAGAGACTTTCCGCATGACCCAATCTCCGATTCGGAAAGAGCGGGATCTGACCCTGGAGTCATAGTATCGAGAGACGCGTTGCTTGTAAGCTTCGTTCCGAAGGTTGGCTTGTGCTCGGCGCTCTTCGAGTAAGTCGAGGCTCAAAGCCAGCGCTTCCTCATTTACCTTCGGTGCGAAGGTTTCCGTTCGGTAGGAGGGCTCTCCGATTTCCACTGGGACTACTGCCTCTGAACCGAAAGCCATAGAGTGGTGTTTCCCCAGTTGCCGTTCGGTAGGATGTCCGGATGGCCCATAGCGCTTCCGGAAGTTTTTCCGGCCAGGCTCCTTTGGCTTTGTCAAGCTGCCGTTTCAACAGCTTCTTGACAATTTTGTTCATGGCTTCGACCTGTCCGTTCGATTGGGGGTGTGCTGGCGAAGCAAAGAATAGGTTGATCTTGAGTCGGGTGCAGAATTCCCTAAAGACTTCCGAGTCAAACTGCCTGCCGTTATCCGTGACGATGGCGTAGGGGATGCCGAATCGGCAGCAAATATTCGTCCAGACGAAATCCTCGACTCTGGCTGCCGTTATTGTCGCTAGGGCTTTGGCTTCTACCCATTTGGTAAAGTAGTCTACGGCAACAACAGTGTATTTGACCTGACCCTTACCTTCTGGCATCGGACCAATTAGGTCTAGTCCCCACTGAGCGAACGGCCACGGGCTCACGATCGGTGACAGTGGCTCGGCAGGAATATGAGGGACACTACCGAACCGCTGGCATTTGTCACACCTCTTGACTAGTGTGTTCGCATCCTGGTGCAGAGTCGGCCAGAAATAACCCTGCCGGAAGACCTTGTGTGCGAGCGATCGGGATCCAGAATGGTCACCGCAGATTCCGCTGTGGACCTCCCGAAGGATGTAGTCCCCCTGCCCCTTGGTCAGGCATTTTAAATACGGCGTCGTGTAGCCCCGTTTGTACAGGACATCGTTGATGACTGTGTATCTTGCCGATCGGTAGCGAAGTTTCCGAGCTTGGGACTTATCGGTAGGAAGGGTTCCGGCTGTCAGGTAGGCATAGATTGGAGACATCCATGTGTCTTCGTACCAAACGGTACATACCTCAGCGGCGGTTGTACTCGGTTGGGATAATATCTCCACCGGTACCTTCCTTCCGATCTTGTCATTTATGGCCGAGGCCAATCGTGAGAGTGCGTCGGCATGGCTATTTTCCGACCTGGGGATCTGCCGTATCTCGTAGGCCTGGAATTTTTGTAGTAGTTGGTGGGCTGCCGATAGGTAGGCTGACATGGAGGCATCCTTGCTGCGAAGTCTGCCGTTATCTGATTTACTATGAGCTGGGAGTCGCTGTGAATGCTGATCTGCCTCGCGCTCATGCTCTGGGCTAGCCGAAGGCCAGCCAGGAGGGCCTCATATTCTGCCTCGTTATTGGAGGTTCGGAAGTTGAATCGGAGGGCGTACTCGATTTTACTACCGTCCGGAGTGGTTAACACTAAGCCGGCACCACAGCCTTGCTGGTTTGCCGAGCCGTCCACGTGCAGGATCCAGAGGGAACAGAAGTGTCGAAACGTTCGGTATCCATTTTCTCTGGTGCGGTAGGGACGACGCTCGGCGATGATGGTTCCGATAAAGCAGGCGTGAGCTCGGATGAAGCGGCAACGGCCTGGCCTTTTTCTGCAGGCCTTGGCTTGAACTGTATGTCAAACTCTCCCAACTCGATTGCCCATTTGACCAATCGGCCCGATGTTTCCGGCTTTTGGAGCACCTGCCGAAGAGGCTGGTTCGTCAGAACTGTGATTTCGTGAGCCTGGAAGTAAGGGCGAAGTCTTCGTGCCGAGACGACCAGGGCCAGTGCTAGTTGCTCCAAGGGTGGGTACCGAAGCTCTGCGCTCTGGAGCGCCTTGCTGACATAAAAGATCGGTAGCTCCGCCTTCTCCGGCTTCCTTATCAACACTGAGCTGACGGCAGTGTTGGATACCGAAAGGTACAGGAGTAGTACCTCGCCTGGCAGCGGTTTCGATAACAGTGGTGCCTGGCTCATGTAGTTCTTCAAGTTTTGAAATGCCTGGTCGCATTCGGGAGTCCACGTTATATGATGTTTGCCCCCTTTCAAAGCTTTGAAGAACGGCACGCATTTATCGGTAGCCTTGGAGATGAAGCGTGTCAGGGCAGCGACACGTCCGGTAAGGCTCTGAATGTCCTTCTGCGTCTTCGGCGTCTCCATGTCGATTATGGCTTTTATTTTCTCGGGATTGGCCTCGATTCCCCTTTGACTGATCATGAACCCGAGAAATTTACCGGAAGATACACCGAAGGCGCACTTCGCCGGGTTCAGCCTCATTCGGTAGTCCTTTAGAATACCGAACATGAGGGCCAAGTTTTCCAGGTGATCCCCTGCCGTTCGGCTTTTTACCAACATGTCGTCGACATATACCTCCATGATGCCGCCGATGTATTTAGCAAAAATCCGGTTGACGAGCCGTTGGTAAGTTGCCCCCGCGTTCTTCAGGCCGAAGGGCATGACATTGTAACAGTACAAACCGCGATCTGTGATGAATGCCGTATGTTCTCTATCGGCAGGGTCCATGAAGATCTGGTTGTATCCTGAATACGCGTCCATGAAGCTGAGCAGCTCGTGCCCGGCGGTGGCATCGACGAGCTGGTCGATCCTCGGTAAGGGGAAACTGTCCTTCGGACAAGCCTTATTCAGGTCGGTATAGTCCTGACACATTCGCCATCCTCCCCTGGCCTTCCGAACCATGACTGAGTTGGCAAGCCAAACAGGGTACGTAGCTTCCCTGATAAAGCCGATGGCTTTGAGCTTGTCAACTTCGGCACGCATCGCCTCATACCGTTCGGCATCGTACGATCGGCGCTTTTGCCTGACTGGTTTGTGGGCGGGGGAGATGCTGAGCTTGTGGCTGATGACATCGGGTGATATGCCGGGCATATCGTCATAAGACCAGGCGAAGACCTCCGCATGCTGCCGTAAGAAGTCGATGAACTGCCTTCGGAGGTCGGGGTCCAGATTGGTGCCGATCTTCACCCACCGATCGGGGAATTCCTTGTTCAGGATTATGGTCTCGAGCTCCTCGGCGGGCTGTGCCATCGGCGTTGGGTTTTCCTCCCGGGGGTTGTCAATGAGTTCGTTACCGTTCGGTAGTCCCTGCAAAGGTCATGGCTTCCATTGGCGGTTTGCTGGCTACCGACTTAAGGGCCGTGGCATAGCACGTCTGTGCGCTGAGCTGATCGCCCCGGATGGCTCCGGTACCGTTGCGTGTCGGGAACTTCATCAGCAACATGTGTGGGGATAGGTGGGCTTTGATCCTGGTGAGTGCCGTTCGCCCTATGATGACGTTGTATGCCGTTGGGCAGTCAACAATGAGGAATTGGTCGTAGGTCATGGTCTTCCTGGGGGCCACGCCGAAGGCGATGGGCAGCTGATGCTACCGACCGGTTGCACCAGATCTCCAGAGAAACTGAGGAGAGGCGTGATTTGCCGATTGACCATGCTGTCGCAATTCCCAGTCCCTTGAACGCATCGGCAAAGATCACGTTCACCGAGCTTCCGTGTGACCGACCCCGTCGTAATCGACGATCTCGGCCCGAATGATCATTGGGTCGTCGTGGGGGTAGATGATCCCCTCCTCCTCTTCTTCACAAAATGTGATGGGCTCCCATCCCACCTTCGGCAGCTTTCGGCACCGATCGTCCTCTATGCCGAAGACCTGAGGGCAGTGGGCGGCACGCACATACTGCTTCATTGAACGGTTAGAGGGTCCCGCCAGAGTGGGGCCACCACTGATCGTGCTGATCATGTTGATATGCCGATTCGCGTTCGGTGCGGGGGCCTGAGTTGGCCTGGCGAGGTACTGATCCAACTTTCCTTCCCGAATCAGGCGCTCGACAATTTTCCTCAGACTGATGCAGTCTTCGGTATTGTGGCTGTTCTGCTGGTGATATCGGCAGAATTTGCCAGTGTCCCGATTATCCTGCCGATTGGGCTTCCGGTTGGTCGGCTTCGGGATCTGGTCATGTTCGTTCATTAGAACGGTTTCGTACGTCGTGTTCAGCAGGGTGAAGACTTCCTGAGCACGATCGTGATTCGGTAGGGGTGCCCGGTGGTCGTTACGACCGTACTTCCCACGTCCCTTCTTTGAGTTTCCCTGACGGCTATCCCGGTCGTCCTTCCGTTTGTGTCCTGCCGACGGGTCGTCGGTTCGGCCTGGATAACTTTTGGCGGCCGATTCCTCCTTCCGAGCCGAAGGCCCGGGTTTGGAGTTGAAGTATTCGGCCTTCGCATGGACTGCCGCCTGCTTCATTAATTCGTCATACGTGCGCCAGTTGCTACTGTGCACGAGGTACCGGAAGTGAGAGGACCGTAGGCCACTCTTGAAGGCGCCGTAGGCTGCCCTATCGTCCGTTTCGGGACACCTCGAGTACTCGTGACTGAAGCGCGCTGCGTATTCCCGTAGGGGTTCGTCCTCCCTTTGCCGAATCGTGTACAGATCGTCGGCAGAGTACAAACGGTCCGTCTGGATCATGAAGTGGTTGAGGAAAATTTGCTTTCAGTTCGTCAAAGGAGTGTACCGTCCCTGGTTCGAGACGGTAGAACCAGTTCAGCGCAGCTCCGGTAAGGGACGAGGGAAACAGCAGACATTGTCCCTCGTCGCTGAGGCCCTTACACCCAACTGCCGATTGGAAGGAGTGGAGGTGCGTCAGAGGGTCCTCCACACCGGTATAGAAGGGTATGCGCAGCGGCTGCACCTCCCTGTCCGGTCTGGACTTTTGATGCGCTCGGTAAATGGTCCCGGCCGAAGTTTTCCCCAGTCAGGGACCTGGGATCGGGTTCGGTCCTCCTCCATCTTCTGGATTCTTTGGAAAAGTAATCGGATGGTGGGGTCTCGGCTGGGGACGTCCTCGGAACCAAAGTCTTCGGAAGTTTTCCTCGGACTTGGTGATCTCGCCTTCGAATACTCCGGGGGAGCTTCCGAACGGTAGCTTGATTCGGTGTCCCTTGTGGGGATGTACTCATCATCGGATTCCTGCGCCGAATCCAAACCCTGAGCCCTCCAAAGGGGCGATTTATCCCCCAAGACCCTCATCCGGGAGTCCCTCAAGTTGGCGTTTAGTCTGATTGGGGACCTATGCCGTTCGGCATCCTTCTTGTCGTTGATCCGATGACGACAATCGGTGTATACCTTCTTCGGTACGTGCGGTTGGTCCTGGGGTGCCGGGACCACCAGCTGCTTGGAAGGCGCAGGCGTTGCCTTTGCCCCCTGTTTTCCCTTCCTCTGCCGACCGGGGGTCTGCTGACTCTGGGAAGATTCGGTGGTCCGAACGTTTTGCGTTTCCTGCTGATTAAGCAACCGTTGGGTTTCGTCCACTTTGGACGAGAGGAGATTGTTACGTTCTTGGAGTTTAGCCATCTCCTTTCGGAGGGAGGTCATCTGAGCCAGAAGCTCTGCTTCGACCGTGGTCTGAAGCGCAGGAGGATTACCGAAGGGAGTGCTAGGGTGCAGCGCGGGGCTTGCTCCACTTGGCATACCGTACGGTAATCCATCCTCCGATAGGAACTGTGGTCCTGAAGTGGTTCCCATTTGTTTTGTTTAGGAATTGTAGGTTGATTTTATCGTTTCCCACAGACGGCGCCAAACTGTTGACGCAGAAAAATGGTTCGGCACTTTCCCGCGCAACTTAGTGATTAAGTCTCTTCGGTATCTGATGTCCTCGGTAGGGTGTGCGATCTGTAAGATAGCAAACACACGGTAAATCCTAGGGCACCGGTGTGGTACCGGCCGAAGGCTCTCCGATGCTTAAGTAAGTACGGATTTAGTAAGTTTTAACTGCAGATCAATAGGCAGTATGCCGTAAGTTCTGATTGATTACCTTCAAGCTGGGATGGATGTCCTCTTTTATAGGCCTTGGGAGGTGTGCAATTTGCTTAGAGTTTCGATGTGGGACTCTGGGCGTCAGTTGTGGGGCTGCCACGTGTCAGAGTGGCGAGGTTGCCCTAATGTTGCGATCGGTAGGTCTGGTACCGAAGGTGAGTGCCGAAGGCACACGTAGCCTGGTTTGGTCCACGTGTTTGATATTCATGGGCTGTTCATTTTGGTATAAACATTTTCTATTTTAGTTTATGAATCTCGTGATGTATCAATAAAGAGAAAATGGTTGTTATGTTTCGTTATGTACACAAGAAATGATGTATGATTAAAAGCTTCACAGGTATTGAACATGTTACAAGTACCACAACTGAGTCACTTAAAGCAAGTATTGATGCATTATTTTCTAGACATAAATTGAGTATGTGAAAATTACGAGGTCAAGGTTATGATAAGGCCAGTAATATGAGTGGAGAGTTCAATGGTCTAAAGACACTTATTATGAGGGAGAATGAGTTTGCTTACTATGTTCACTGTTTTGCACATCAACTTCAGCTGGCTATTATTGGTTTGGCAAAAAAACATAGCCTCATAGGTGCTTTCTTCACCTTAGTTTCTAATGTGGTAAATATTGTTAGAGCATCATCTAAGCGTCGTGATATTCTTTAGGATAAGCAAGCTCCCAAAGTAGTTGAAGCACTCACCAATGGGGAGCTTTCTAGTGGGAAAGGTTTAAATTAAGCAACAGCGTTCATGTGATACACGTTGAGGCTCATATTATGGTACGTTGATAAACTTTATTACCATGTTCTCATCTACAGTTGATGTGCTTGATGAAATTGCAAATGATAGATTGACTGTGATAAAAAAAAAAAAAAAAAAAAAAAAAGAGCATTTATACTGCTAGAATTAGTGCAAGTCAATTAGATTTTGTATTCAGTTTGCATTTTGATTGAGGAATATACTTTGAATTACAAATGCATTGTCACAACTTTACGGAGGGATGATCAAGATATTGTGAATGCCATGGATTTAGTTGAATTATGTAAGCAACAATTCATGAAGATGAGGGAGAATGGATGAGATTCTTTGTTGGAGGAAGTTTCTGTTGCAGGAATCAAAATATTGAGTTCCTAACATGGATGATATGTTTCTAGCTAGAGGGAGGTCACGACGCAACGGTCCAGAAATCACAAATATGCATGATTATCGTGCTGATTTTTTCTTTGAAGTGATAGCTTTGCAACTCCAAGAGCTGAATAGTCGTTTCAATGAGGCCAACACTGAGTTGTTACTTCGCTTGGCATGCTTGAGTCCAATGATTCATTTTCTTCTTTTGACAAGCAAAAGCTCATTCGGCTTGCTTAACTTTACTCAAATAATTTTTCTAATCACAAGAGCTTGAGGTACTTAAAGATCAACTTCAAACTTATATTGATGATATGCATTCCAACACCAACTTTTCAAAATTACAAGGTATTGGTACTCTTGCAAAAAAAACTAGTTGAAACAAAAAAGGGCAAGGCATATCCACTAGTTTATCTTCTCTTGAAATTGGCGTTAACACTTCTAGTTGCAATAGCTTCATAAGAAGGGGCATTCTCTGCTATGAACATCGTGGAGAACAAAATGCGTAATCGAATGGGGGACCAATGGATGAATGTTGCTTAGTAGTATATCTTGAAAAAGACATATTTAATAATATTGATAATGAACTCATTATGCAACGTTTTCATAATATGAAAAGTCGTCAAGGACAATTGTAAATTTACTTATTAGACAATGCTATTAATATTTGAAGTTTTACATATTTTTGTTTGGCTATATATCGGTTGGATTTTTTTTAAGCCCCCAGATGAATGAAAGTCTGGGTCCTCCACTGGTGGTTGCGACGGCAATGGTTACAACCTTGATAAGATGGTGGTAGTAGAAGTGGTGAAATCATATATTAAGAATAAAAATAATATATCCATCAAAATATTTGGGGAGAAGCAAAGATTTGTCATGGCCTAAAATTAGTCTACAGTCAAACAAAATCCATCACCTTTTTGTATTCTATTTAAAATCAAGGCTTAATATCAAAAAAATGTCCTTAAGATTTGCTATCAGATCCATCCATTTTTTTTTTTTTTTTTTTTTTTTTTTTTTTTTTCTGTCGTGCCCTTAAGGTTATGTTTTGTTAAAAACTCTGTTAGTTTGCTAACATTGTATATATATACCACAAAACATACCTGATATTCACGCACCTATCACTAATGGTCATTGCGAAATTTTTTGATTTTTTGATTTAAAATTCATAAAATTTGGTTTTCTTTTTTAAATTTATGAATTTTAAATTATTTATTGGAGATGTGGGCTCCGCATATATGCCAGATCAACAAACTAATTGAGTATTTTTTAAAAAAAATTAAAAATTCATAAAATTAAAAATTTTAAAAACCAACATTTTATGAATTTTAAATTATTTGTTAATATATATTGTATTTTAAATACATGTGGCACCATATTGTTGGAGATGTGGGCTCCACATATATGTCACGTGAGCAAACAAAGGAAGTTTTTTTAATTTAGAAATGAAAAACCAAAATCTTAAATGAAAAAACCAAAATTTTTCATTTTAAAATTTTGTTAAGGCTTTATATCGCTAAACTCTAAACCCTTGGTTTTTTTCATTTAAAATGCATACAATTTTGGTTTTTTTCATTTTAAAATTTTATGAATTTAAATGAAAAAAACAAAAAATTTCATAAGGACTATTTGTGATAGATGCATGAACCTCATGGATATATATATATATATATATATATATATACACACCACGTCAGCGAACTAACTGAGTTTTTGACGGAACCTAATGGTAGGGATCATTTGTGAGCACACATACTAACCTTGAGGACTACGAATGACACAAAACAAACAATAATGATGCAATCTGATAGTTTCGTAAACCTTAAGGACGTTTTGTGATATTAAGTCTAAAATCAATGAGTTTTTAAATACACCCAAACTTTTATGAAGTATTTTAAAATCGTGATTGAATACATCCAAATTTGAATTGAGTTTAAAAAGTTTAAATAGAATACACCAATAATTGTATAGACTTCTATAAAATCGTGATTGACTACACCTACACTTTTGAACTTCTTTAAATCTTTTAAAATCTCATTTGAGTACACCCCCTAAATTTCAAGTTTATTTGCTCCATCCAAATCCATGGTAAGGTAAGGCTACATTAGCTAAAAGAAGAATTTATAATTAGGGGTGGGCACAGTCCGGATTGGTTCAATTTTACTCTCAAAACACAGCTAAACCAATAAGAAAATAACAATCTGGTTGGTTTGGATTAGCCTAAAACCATAATGAAAACCAAACCAATCCAAACCACTTGTAATTGGTTTGGTTCAAATTGGTTCGGTCGGTTTGTGCCTAACACAAAACCATGCATTTTTTAACCTGCTCTTACATTATAATGCTAACATTTTGCCATTATATCATTCCATTCAATCAAAGGCTAACACAACAACATTCCATTTAATCAAAGGCTAACACAACAACATTCCATTTAATAAAAGGCTGTCCAATTTCCAGCATGCATCTAAGTTCATAATTTCCATCAAAACAAACATTCTAAAGTTCATATGAAATGAATACAAGATGATAAAACTAAGAAATGAAAGGCTTCCCAAAATACAAGTTCATAATTTCCATTTAATTAAAGGCTGCCCAATTTCCAGCATGTCCCCATACTGCACATAAAAGCAGTTTCAATCAACACAAATTTTAGGATACAAGATGATCAAAATAAGAAATGAATAAGAAAATTACCATAACTGCAAGGTTGTGTATCAATAGAGAATCAATCAGTGAAAATGTGCACAGACGCATTAGCATTTGATCTCCGCATTTCTATATAAGAAATATACATAATCCTATATTTAGCTTTAGCACAATAAAATTCACACGTTATAAGCAATTAATCGAGAAAAATAGATATACCTAACTCAATGGTTTCATAAAACTCCATCTCCTCAATGGTGGACTCAACTTGTAAAGATATTGAAGTGGACTTCAACCAATTTTGTGTACAAATTAAAGTCTCAACCATAGCAGGACTCAAGGAACTACGAACTGAGTTCATTGTTCTTCCCCTCGTGCTAAAAGTATATTCTAAGGCAACTGTAGAGACTGGAATTGCAAGCACATCTCTTGCAACGGCCGCTAAAACTGGATATTCAGAAGCATTCACCCTCCACCGATTTAAAATATCAAACTGTTATGTAGCATTTGACAAATATCTATCTATCTCATGAGATAAAACCACTGCATCTTTGTCTTCTTGTCTCTTTTTCTACTTTTCCTTCATAGCCTTTTTTCTATCACCTCCAAAGCCTGAGGAGTTAGAACTATCAGTCACTATGCTGCTGCCAATACTTGAGGATGTAGTAGAAAAACTAAGACTTTGAGTTGGATTACTAACGAAACCTACCTCGTACAACCCATAAAGTTTAAACAAAAGATCTCTCACACCAGCTATTTTCTCGACAACATAAGCATCATTTTGCACATACAAATCAACAATATGCATTGATAAATTGTCCAATTTATACTAGGATCAAGAACAACAGATATCAACAAGAATTGGTTTCACACTATCAAGTGATTCACAATCAATTACAAATAAGTCATGAAAAGTAGTATGGGCTGTGACATGCAAA